AACAGCGATTCCTTAAATTATTCAAAAAAAAATTGTATCCATTTATTGACACAAACATTTTTTCGTAATTTTTTTAGATTAAAACATATAAATTCACGTTCGGTAGCCCAAACTGGTTTCTGGTTACCTAGTTACTGTGATGGAAGTTTTGCACACCAGCACATAATGAGAAAAGGGTATTTGAATTTGAGGTTAAGTCATCTGTCAAATTAATCTTTTCTTTGATAATATTTGCTCATTCATTTACAAAATTTTATGGACAGCTTGGTGAATGTTTTTTTTTCAGAATACTAAGCCGCTTAAATTTAAGTTTAATTTTTGAAATCGCCATCGAAAAATATGATGAGAGTTTTTTATGGCCGTAATCAAATTTTAAAATTAAATAAGATACCACCTTTGTTAAAAAATAAAAAAAAAACAAACGCGTTAATTGTCATTGTAGCCAAACTACCTAATTAAAAAAACTCCCAGTTAGTTTGGCCTACCGAACGTAAATGGATTATATCTCAAAATCTCATGTATCAAATTAGACTCGTGTGACAAATTTCTCACTTAAGGGGAATATGACGTATTCCAAACTTGTTAGAGAATATACTAGTATTATGTTTATGTCAATAAGTGGAGATTTTTTTGTGTATGATTTGGGAAAGCGTTGTTAATAAAATATTTTTTAAATTTACATTGAAATCTAATTTTAGTGGATCAAAATTATATTGCAATTATTTTCTTATATTAAATTAAAACAAAAAATGGTGTTAAAATTGTGTTTGGTTTTACTTAAGTACTTAAAGAAAAAAAAAATCTCATGTATCAAATTAGACTCGTGTGACAAATTTCTCACTTAAGGGGAATATGACGTATTCCAAACTTGTTAGAGAATATATGTAGTATTATGTTTATGTCAATAAGTGGAGATTTTTTTGTGTATGATTTGGGAAAGCGTTGTTAATAAAATATTTTTTAAATTTACATTGAAATCTAATTTTAGTGGATCAAAATTATATTGCAATTATTTTCTTATATTAAATTAAAACAAAAAATGGTGTTAAAATTGTGTTTGGTTTTACTTAAGTACTTAAAGAAAAAAAAAAATCTCATGTATCAAATTAGACTCGTGTGACAAATTTCTCACTTAAGGGGAATATGACGTATTCCAAACTTGTTAGAGAATATATGTAGTATTATGTTTATGTCAATAAGTGGAGATTTTTTTGTGTATGATTTGGGAAAGCGTTGTTAATAAAATATTTTTTAAATTTACATTGAAATCTAATTTTAGTGGATCAAAATTATATTGCAATTATTTTCTTATATTAAATTAAAACAAAAAATGGTGTTAAAATTGTGTTTGGTTTTACTTAAGTACTTTAAGAAAAAGAACACTTTGCAGTTAATCCATAATTATGTTTTTGTACCCATGACTATTGCTTAATCATAGACTGGTAAATTAGCATTACTGGACCAAGGTTATGAATTGATAACTGGATTAGGTGCTTGAAATCGAAAGTATTTTTTAATTAATTTTGGTAAGGTCTATTTCATGTATAAATGTTTGATTGAATATGGTTTTATGGTTATCCATTCTTTAATAAATGATATTTATCTTCATGCAGTCAATACTTTAATTCTACACTCACAACTAAAGTGATAATATTAATATAATATAAAAGTTAATTATGTCATTAATCAAACGAAATTCAACATTTTAACTTCAAGGCATAATTTTATTTGTTAAACCATACATTAATCATACAATGATTAATTAATTAAAAAATGAGGTTAGGTAGATCTGATGTTTATAAAACTTTTTACAGTCTTGGAGGTAAAAAAACCTTACCTGTCCAAATCATTTTTATGTTCCTAGGTGTTGACAACAATACAATACATATCCATACATACATATTTACGAACGATATTTTAAATTAAAAAAAATGTCCATCCTAACTATTTTTAAAGGATAAAAGTATATCCTATTGTATACAATAAACAGACTTATTATACAGAGTGATTCAGAAATACGTGTGATAATTTTTACCAGTACCAGTATTTGTTAATTTGAACAACTCTTCCTAATAAAAACTGAATTTAAAACATGAATAGGAAACCTTAATACAGTGAATATTTCAATTGCTATAGAGCTGATACCTTGTTATTTGTTAAAAAAACACATCGTTGCGTCTTGTTGCAATGATAAAAATGCCCCCTTAAAGCAATTAATGTAAAAAATTAAAAGTCCTTGCCACAATCTGATTCGTTGATTACACAGTGCAATACAAAAAAAGAGCGCAACTGTTTACATCACATTATTATTAACAATAACAAGTTAAAAAATATAACATAATCACAATGCATATAAAACTTTTTTTATTACAATAAATGTTTGAAATGGTCATGATACAGCAATTTATTAGTCTTATAAAAGACATTTCTAATAGCATCATGAATGCGAACCCTTAGTTGACCAATAGTTTTAATTGTGGTGGCGTACACCAATTGCTTCATGTAGCCCCACAATAAAAAATCGCAGGGGCTAAGATCTGGTGATCTGGCAGGCCATGCGATAGAGCTTAATCGGTGGTAAGCAAATTTTCCACAAAATTTGGTTGCATATTATTTTTTATTTATTTTGCGTTCATAATGTCTTCATTATAACACCGCTTTGGGTGCTATAATGAGATATTTTATCCCACCCGAAATTTTGATTTTATAGGTTGGCTATACTTTAAACAGCATAATATTTTGCATATTGGTCATAATATTTTTATGATTTTTCTAGTACTTACGAGACTTTTCTGGCAATAATTTTTGTTAAACACCAAATAAAATCCTTTTTTTTCTTCTTTAACATTAACATCCGCTTATTGTAAATTAGTAAATTAAGGACGGCATGGCGAATCGATTTTGTAAAACCAATGACTGTGATACCAACTATCTAAAGTAAAATTGGACCAAATTAAATTTAAGGTATAAAATTAATTTTTTATATAGAATTTTTGCAAAATAAACAAAATAGCATAAAGAACTCATGTCATAAGACCTTTTGTCGCACTCGTCCATTGTAAATTGTCCGCGTGCGACAAAATGACGTCTTATGACATTAGTTTTTTAATATACTATTTTCCAACAAGCATTCACAAAATGTGGGCCTACGAACATTATCTCCGAGTTGCAAAAACTGGACGCGTTGTAGGGATGTAACCGTAGACTCTGTAATATCATGCAGATGTAAAAGTCTACGAGTACTAGTACGAGGGCTAATGGGCATTTTTTAATGAATCTTAAATGACAGAACTGTCATTTAAGATTCATTAAAAAATGCCCATTAGCCCTCGTACTAGTACAACTTTGTAATTGAATATGATTATTAAAGTTGTTATGTTTTCAAAAGAATAATAATAAATAATTACTCAACGACTCGTTAGGTCAAATTATAGGGCAAAAAATTAAGAAAAAAATTTTGCAAAATGCCATATAGAAAACTGTTCCACTAGACGAATTTGTCATTGGTTAAAATTATCAAATGTATTTCTAAATCACCCTGTATAGGACATAAAGACTTTTACAAAAAAAAATCCTGTGGATTCTATGCGATATCCCCAATATTTAGAAAAAACTTTAAATAATTATTTCACGAGATTGGTTTTCTAACATTTATTTGTAAGAAATGTTGAAGAACAATTATGTATTATTAAAAAACTGTTTTTAGAATTTTAGTAAAAATACATTTTTCTAACGTAGGAACCTGGTAAATAATTTATTATTTATTTTATATTTTTCCCAGATACAATAGTGAGAGAAAGAGGAGGTATCTCAAGCATGGAGTAACACGCGAGTGGAATCTTCTCTTTTAACCAATAATCGCACACAATACTTTATTTAATAAGAAATTTGAAGCCAATAATATTTGAAATTTTATCTGACATCTAACAAGTAACAGAAAGTTTTAACTTCACTTTTGTACAATTTTAACTAAAGCAAACTTCAACCACTCTTAGCAGGGCTACGATTACATATTCCTTACGGGTGTTGATTAAAAATATATATTTTCTTTCAAATTAAAATAACTATGTACTTATTCTTTGAGAATAAAAGAGAGTGGACGCGTAATAAGGTCGTTGGAAATGTTGGAAAATGTGAACCAAGCTGTGAACAGTTTCATGCATTAATTTTATTATAAATTGCATTATAGTGAATAAAAATTAGGTTTATTTAAGAACAGGTTTAACCAATACTGATTAAAATAAATAAAATGTTAGTGAAAATTCGCATTTTAAGTTAATTACATTAAAAAGTAAATTTTGAGTTTTCATTAATAATATTGATTTTTATCAGTCAAAGGCTATTCCAGTGTCTTGTCCCTGTATATTATACTTATAACTTTTAAAACCAAATAAAGAAAAAACCACCATTATATTTTAATATTCAATATTCTTTTTTAAGAAAAATACACACGAGAACAATTTGAGCTAAAAGATTATATTATTATTATATTATAACTTTTATCTGTAATTAATTATAAATATAGTCGTTCTTTTTTAAACATATTGATTTTACTTAAAATCAAAATCCCAAAGAATAGTCGTGATGATTTTTTTATTATGTTATTAATATTACCAAGAATATAATATTTTGAAAAGCAAGGTTAAATTAATTACATTTTGTTTTTTGATTTTATAAAAAAAACTAGAAGATCTATTTTATATTTAGAATTAAGTGAAGAATTATTTATAAAAAGGTACAGAAATAAACACTTGTACTTGAGGACAAATTATTATTATTATTATTAGCTAAATAAAAAATATAATAAATAGAAGAAAACTTATTTCTGTATTTGTCCAAAAGCATCCCGTTTTGGTCTGCAGGCCTTACCAATGGGTAAGCGAATTCATAGAAATTCAATTTCTTCCCACTGTATACGTGTGTGGTACTGACCTAGCCTTAACGATATGATGGTGGTACTTGATGAATATATCAGCTCTGATACGGGCTCGCCAGTACAGTGCACCGCACGGTTCATGACAGACACAGACCTCCAGTGAAGTTTATATTCTGTTACCGATAGTGTTGTTTAGTGTTTAAACAATTTTTACAATAAAAATTCAGCAACATGAGCAAGGTATTTTAACTTTTTATGCTTCATTGTTTAATTTATTTAGAATTCTTAAAAATACAAATTTATAAATAAATAATTTTAAAGTTTGTACATAAAAATAGGTATTTCAATAACTCCAAAAATAAATAATTTATATGGATAATATTAAATTATGCATTTATCATTTTGTTTTTTTGATAAGATGGTGATACGAAATAAAACTCCTATACAAACAAATATTTATTTATTTGATTATATGTATTATATTCATGAACTTATTTATTTATTTTTTATCTAGATGTGTGTTTACAGCCTTAGCTATCTACTGCATCCCTCTCTGCATGCATTTCTGTTTGGCAGTAACTGTATCTAAATATCGTTAGGTAGTTTATTTAAATTTATTTTCCCAGTTTCTACGTGATCCGACTCATTTTTTTCTATTTTGTGGTTTCTATATCCAAATTTGTTTTATTAATATTACATCTATCATATCATATACATTCTATCTAAAAGTGTATTTTCAGTTTTCATTCCATCTCTTATCTTAAAAGCGTTTCTTACATCTCATCCATAACAGCATTTATGTTGCATTTATTTTATTTCTTTTAAAAGGCAATAATAGTTAATAAAATATACCGGATTTAAATCGGGAAAATTTAGAAGCTGATAGAAAAATAAGAAGACAAGACAAGTTTTTATTAACTTGTATCTTGTATTGGTTTTCGAGATAAAGGGTAGTAAATTATTAAAAAAATATTTTTTTTCAAAAAACTAACTTGGTCGAAAATAATTAAATTTTTAGGTTTTTTATAAATGAATAAGTGACCTAATGTTAAGAAACCTAAAAACCTCAGTGACGTGACCTTTTTTTATTAATTTTAACACCCTGTTTCCCGAAAATAAAACTTTGAGGCATACAAGTTCATATATACTTTTCTTTTAATTTTTGCATGCTCTATTAACTATTAAATTTTTCTGTTTAAAATCTGAGAAGCCCTGTATAATATATTATAAGTTCATAATTTTTAAGAAGGGTGCATCAAGTATCCTTCTATGTCTGAGTATTTTTTATTTAAGAGCTACAAGGTTGGTTAGTTTAGACAAAAGTTGCGTAAAATTACTAGTCTAATAAAATGGCATTTAAAAATTGAAAAAAAATCAGCGGTTCTTAAATAATTTAAAAAAAAACTAAAAACCTGTCAAAGCTAATTTAACCAACCCTGTAGGCTATAGTTGTAGCCCTTCGAATAAAAAATTAAATTACATATAAGAATACTTGGTGCACTTTGTATAATATCAATAAAAACAATAATATTATGTTATAAATAAAAATTATTGGCGACATTATATATTAGTTCATAATATAGCAAATTATTTATTTTATTTTTTAATTATATATTTATACTATTTACATAACTTTTTATAGCCAACAAAACAGTTTTCTAAACAACTAATCCATTCCATTACATACATTTTCCTACTATTTTTTCAAAAAGTAGCTCTCTTTATCTTTCAATGCCTTCTCCAAAATAATAATTTGTATTTGAATACAATTAATTTTGACGGTCAACTATTTTCACAAATATAGTAAATATATTATTTATTTAATATTTCCTCATTTTGGGACAAAAGTTGAACAATTCTCTTGTTCTTTCTATTTTACTTTAACTTGAAGATGACAATTAGCAAACAATATAATTTTATTTTGTTAATAAGAAGCGATGTTTCTTCATAAATATAGATAAGTATGTTAAAAAATATATGAATTATTTAACTACCAAAATACGTACGATTGCAGAATATAAAATTATCTCATTATGCCTAATTTATAACAAAAAATACAGTTTCCGGTACATGGTGTTAAAAGTGTACTTAAATGGAATGTAAAATAAATAATTTAAATATTTGAAATAAAGGTAAATATACGTATTTAATACAAAAAATGCAAATATTTTCACATTTCATAAAATAATTTATATGCTGTTTTTTATTTGCAAAAGTAAAACACACTGACATAATTTTATAAGCATTTACTTTAATTTATGTAAGTTGTAATTGATAATAAAAAAATATTATTTGCTTACAGTTACTTCCAATTATTTTTAGACAATATTAAATATAAATGTTATAGTTTTTTATGTAAGAAAACTAAATATTTTATTTATGAAAAGCTAGTTTGCAATTATCAACCACTCATAGCAATATACAGCGATATATATATATTTTTTACATTTATCTGTATATGTAAATAAATAGTCAAAGAAGGCTAAATAAGTAAGCAACCAAGGAAACTGTTCAATATTTAATTAAAATAAACAATTGGAATTATAAACCTAACCTAAATTGTATATCATGAAGCAAAGTTGCAGATCCATCACACAATCGTTAGGAAAATGTTGTTTACATATATTTAAATAGTTGTTGCTTTAAAAAAATCATTACGAATATTTACTTACCACCTAGGTATCCTTTAAAAGTTACCCAAAAATATTATTTTTCTTTAAAAATATTCACGTATTTTTGAGATACTTTCAGTTCCTTAAAGTAATAACATTTCTCTAAACTACCTGTTTGGATTACAACAATCAGGGATTTAAAAATATCTTTCCCCCTAAGTCCCTTTTCAAAGAAAGGAGCTTAAAATATTATGGAAGTCTTTACCTGACAAGATAAACGATATTCCTAAATACACCATAGAAAAAGTAATAGTGTTTTAGGGCAAAAAGTGCACAGGGTGTCCCATTTATCATTCATTATTTAAAAAAATATAAGAGCTTGTTTATACTATTTCAGGTTTTTTAGGATTCACAAAAAATATTAAAAATTTAATATTGCCAAAATTCTTAGAGTTATGGAGGTCCATAAGCTTAGTGTAAATTTATTTTTCTACTACAACCTTTAAGTTTCTTAAAGCCAATACCTATTTGAAAAGTTTATATGCAACTTTGTACTGACTTTTTGATTTCACCTGCAGTAAACTAGATTTAAGCATTCAAAATTTAGGGTGGAGACTCCATAAAACATTCTTTTCACTTTTACTGTGAAAAAAAAATGCTTCTTCTTTTTCAAGAGATAAATTTCGATTTACACATTGTACATTTTGATGAAAGCTCCGGGTTAGAAATACTCTATTTTTTATAATTTTCGCTTCATAAAAATATTTAATTTTAAATAATAAGAATTTATCGTAGAAAAAGTATAGTATGCAACTTGTTTAAAAATGTTCTAGGCACTAATTTAATTAAACACTCGCTTGCAAGCTCGCCCGTGAATAAAATAGCGTTTATTAAACCTGATACATAATATACTATTATTTTAAGGGATTTTTATGTTTTATTTTGTTTATCAGTTAACTATATCGATGACTTTCTGCCAAAGTATCGCAAGCAACATAACTCAAATTTCGGGAATTGAAAACATTATTGTCTTAAAGTCTGTTTTAAATTAAATATAGTCTAAAGGATTTATAACAAGTAAATAGCTTATAATTATAGCTATGTACTTGTTATAAATCCTTTAGGCTATATTTAATTTACAACAGACTTTAAGACAATAATGTTTTCAATTCCCGAAATTTGAGTTATGTTGCTTGCGATACTTTGGCGGAAAGTCATCGATATGTATATAATATTGCCCACTATCAGCAGGGCCATGAAATTACATATTCCTTTCAGGTAATACAATAATTAATTTATATAAAACATTTAATGAAAATGTATAAAATGTTTTAGGTATTTAATCAGATTCTACTTGAATAATAGCTATGCGATTTTACGGTATCGATTGAATCATTTAATACACTAAAGGCAAGGTAACTTTTAATCGATTATTCCTGGTTGTTCTTTTGTTTAGTCCGTAGGATGTTGTGCTAAATATCACGTAGGCACAGATTAACATTATTTCTTAGAAATTATCAAGATAGCAATATTTTAACGTTGATTTAAATATTTTTAAAAGTTTGAATTTTTTTTTATTTATGACATTTTAACATTTTTTTTATTATATGGCCATGATATTTTATCAAGCGTTGTTAAAATTCTGAACAAAGATTTAATAATTATTAATATTGACTAATTTAAAGTGAGACAAACCAAGTCAAAATGTGTCAATAAATATTTATTGACTTTTGAAAAGTATCGATAATTGAAAAAACTGTAGATAATAAGTAAACGAAAAAAAAATTATTTTTTATAATTCCGCACCATCTTTATTATTTTGAACTTAACAATTTTAAACCATTTAAATAAAAATTGGGATAACTTAAATGTATATATTAAAAAAATAATATTTGCAAATAAACTTGGCCTTGTAGGCATTGAGAAATTTTTATAAAATGTACTCTGCATGCTGGTTATTTTCGTGTTCCAAAAATAAAAAAAATTCTTAGGTACTAAAATTAATAAAAACGGTGCTGAATTTTAAAAAATGATTTAAAGTATTTTTGTTTAGTTATAATTTACAGATTTTTACGATTATTTACTTTCCAAAAAATCAATACAAATTTATTAACACATTTCTCATGGTTTCACTCAGTGTAAATAATTAAATTTTTTAACTATTTAAAATTAAGTACCAGTCCTAAAGTAAGAACCACTGGGCAGACTATTAATAGTATAAATTATTAAATATATTTATTTTGGGATACCTACACCTATTATTGCATTACAAATACAAAGATCTTAACTTTTAAATTAAAATAATTCATAATTTGAATTATTAAAACTATAAGCATTAAAATTATAATTATTGAAATTTTATAGTATTTTTTATATGTAAACATAGTTGTTTTAAATATGAGAAAAGGCTTCTTTATAAAAAATGTACAATTATGTACAATTATGTACAATATTTGTATTACATAGTTTTTTACACCATTTAAATATCATTTAATTTTATTTTTGTATATTAAAATTTTTAATATACAAATATTGCACTGCATTGTTTTCTCTACATAAAAATATGAAAAAGATATACAGGGTGACACGAAAATAATCTTGATTATTTCCTAATTTTAATTTAATTGAGTTAGTAGCGGCGATTTTATAATGATTTAAATATAAAAATCTTGTAAAAGTTGTGACAAGATAAGTGTTGTTTAATAATAATCTTGCTTCTCTAAATTTTTTAATTTTATTGAATTAATAGCAGCGAAAATATACTGCTTTAATTTAAAGAAATAGCATAATCAATACGTAATTGATTAGATTTAATAACCTGGTCATATTTTTATTTCTTGTAATTATTTTAGTAATTTTTTTTATTATTCTTTATGGTTTCGTAATAGTTTTCCACGGGCTTCCACAGACTTAACGTTTATAATATTTCTTCGACTTTGGTTGATAATTATTTTAGTCATAAATTTAAAAAACAAATCTATTTTTTTTAAATTTACCTATTTATTAAGGCTATATAGATATAATAATAATAATAAATCCTGTAAACTTTAAAAGTACAATACCAGATACCAGCAGTTATCGAGTTAAACGTTGCCAAATTTACTGTTCAATATTTTGCTAATATCTTTTAAAATATAGGTCTGGATTTGTTCTCTTGTTGTGTTCTGTCATTTTATTTAAATTCTGTATAATTATTACTTATTAATTATTTTATAATTTTAAATACTTAAATTAAATAGTAAACTCTCTTGACCTGTATACATAATACAGTATAAATTCTACTTAAATAGTTAGTCAATAAATCAACAACTTTGTAAATAAATTGTAGGTTAAAAATATTTAGCTGCATATCATGGATTATTAAAAACTTTGTAAAAGCTATTAGAATAATGAACTTAAACTACTAAATGCATGTATCCTAATGCTTTTTATTGTTTTTAATACCTGCTTAGGGGTAGCCAAAAGGTCATTGAATCGTATATTTCTATTGTTGTATCATATGCAATTACAAACAAATAAACATTAAGGAAATATTAATAATGTAATAATGTAGGTTCTATTACTTTATAGCAACGACAAAATATTTAAACAATGATTAACGATATACCTACTAGTTAGTATATTTGATAGCTATACATATTCATTTGGGAATAAACTTACTGCAATGAGATGTAAAAATAATTTCAATTGAATGAGTTTCCGTAATTTCTATGTTTAATTTATAAAATTTTAAATATATTTATGTTTAAATTTTGCCTTTTTAATATTTTTAAATAGAAAATAATAAAAACAAATTAGTAATGTTTTATTATTTTTTATAACGTTAAAAACATTATGTTGATATTATAATAGTAGGTGGTACCCAAAATACATTATATTACAAATTATAATTTTTTTAAATTAGTATAAGTAAGTATTTATATTACAAGGTATAGCGTAAACGTGATTTTTTAAATAAAAATTCCTCAAAAATATGGTTTAGTCTTTAAAAAATATTTTTATTATTTTTTATAAAAAGATTTCTTTTAGTTTAAATATTATGCAATTTACATTTGCATTTCAGACAAATTAAAATAGTATTTTAAATGCCGAGAACGAATCAAAATCTTGTCATTATAAAAATAACTAATATGATTAAAAAATATTTAAATTAATATTTTTGTTAAAGAACCAAAGATACAATTTGGTAACCAGAATTGTAACCATGAAAATAATCCCTTATAGATTACAAAGTTTGTATTTGTTTTTAACCCTTAATCAGATTTTAATCCCGGCGCATTCGCCATTTTTAATTAATCTATTTTACCTCATTGCATCATACAATTTGTGTGACGTCTATTCAAATTAACGAATTGCTAAAACCATTCTATAGGTTATGTACCTATTTAATCAAATTAAAATTCTAAGTAGTCCAATTTAAATTAAAATTTTAATTATAAATACATACATGTATTTACCAAAGCGCGATAGCACACAATGTGGTAATTAAAAAAACACCGCGAATTTGCAAATAAAATGTATTGTAATACCAAAAATGTTGCAAAACTATTTTTAGAATTCCTGTAATAAAAGTTGACTCACTCTGTCAATTTAATAAGCACAAATGTAATTAACTACCGCATTAATAACGATAACTATGGGGACAAAAATTGTTAAATAAATGCCTATTAAAAGTTCTTTATTCTTTAATAAAATTGTTGGAACTTATAATGAAATTCTTAGGAACAATAACATTATCAAGACTTTAGATTCTGGACTCATAAGTTAGTTTTGATACAACAAAAACCTGATTAAAACATAAATTTTATGGCAGATAAATTTGTAATTAATAGTATTTTTTTTAATGTTTATAATTATTAACTATTAATTTTTTTTTAAATTTATATTTACAAAATGTATAATTTCACATCAAATAATATTAATATTTAACCCATGACTTGGATATTTGTAAATAATGAATTATTATTTATATGTCAAACATATTTAATATAATTGACATTTTATATTTTATTTGCCATACCCAGAACCTTAAAATTTAAAATTAAAAGCTTATTTTTAAGGTAATCTATTATTAATATTAACATTTTTTTGTATTTATTAGTTTAGAATAAAATATTAAAAGTATTATTAACATATATTTATTTTGTTTCAGATTATAGTATATATTTTGGATAGAATAGTATGGATGTTGGTTATTTTGGTAATTACAACACAAGCATTACAAATGGCAGGAATTGTAGAAAGTCCAAAAAGTTTAGGAGAAATTACATATTCTGATGTAAGTAATTTTTTTAACTAAAGATTTAAAATTATTTACAATTAGATATTAGTTAGTAGCTGAAATTTTTAAAATATTAAGATTTAAGCCTGAATTAAAGATTGCCTTCCTTCCTTCCTCCCGTAGTCCTGCCCGTACGATTTGTGCGTCTTGTAAAAAGTCAATTTATAGATTTCCGTGTAAAATTCCGTAACCATGCGCGATGACACCTAAAATGCTTGACATTTGTTTTTGCGTTTTACCCATTGTGTGTAAATATGAAAGATAATCATTTATATATTAGTTCAGTGATCACAATTTTAATTGCCCAGGCAGCTTGTTATATACTGCCCAACTATGGAGAAAGGCAGTAACTGCTAAACAAGAAATTTGTGGGAAATTAGCATAAACCACATTTTTATAAAAAGCAGTAGGTAGGTATTTAACTGATTTATTTAACTTAAAAGATAGTTTACTGCATTTCTTTGTTGAATTAAGATACAAAATGTCCATAGCTTTATCATAGCACAAGAAAACGCATTTGTAGTTACTGCCTTTCTTCATAGTAGGGCAGTATAATGAAAAAAAAACATCGAACAAGACGTTGGAAGACTCGTCCACTTTACCAAGACCGGGAAACTACAGGGTTTTACAAAGCAACGTTTCTAAAAATGAAAGACATTGATCATAAACAATATCTAAATATCCTATTTAGAGACACAAATTATCTAATAAACTGAACACCTACCTTAAAATTTAAGGCTTAAATAATACTAAACAATCATGTATTTTAAATATTTTGTGCCTACGCGCTGTCACCCTACAGCGCATGTCCATAACAAGCACTGTGATTGGTCATGTCAAAGACCTTTACGGTGAAAGATAAAACTTAAAAATTTCTACGGGAGGAAGGAATGCCGTCCTTACGGTACGGGAATCTATAACTGGCACTACAATTTAAATAAACATTTTTGACGTAATTGTCACCATTAACATTGCCCGTTATTAATTTTAATTCAACTTAACAATTATTGATACATTAAAATATTAAAATAACTTCAAAATATGATTTTGTTAAGAAAATATTTTATCCTTTGATTTTTTTTATTACTATAATTGCAAAATATTAGCACAAAGTATTAAAAATTCCTACACGGGAAATGTTAATGGTGTCAATTACGTAATGTTCATCTTCTACGGGAGGAAGGAAGGAAGGAAGGAAGGAAGGCAATCTATAAGTCAGGCTTTAAACAAACAAATTTAGAATTAAATTTCTTTACACTGTTTTAGTTAATTATTTTAGAACTTTTGGATGTTGTGACTTATTTTTATAGCTTTTTTTATTTCATAGCTCCTATTTATTATCTATGTATGAATCTAAACTCAACCTTCTTACATAGTAAATAAATGTAATGTTTATAAATGTTTACCTTCTTTTTAATTTTTATTGTTAATAATTATGTTATTTTATAGTTTTTTCATGACTGTTGCATTATTTTGTTTTATGTAGACAAGTACAATTACTATGTTTTTATATTATAGAACTAAAAAGAATATTAAATTATAATTTAATCCATATACAGAATGGCCCAACGAAAACGAAAAAGGGGTTTTTAGATAATAAGCAGTGATTAAAAACACGTCAACTTTTGTTTCATTTGAAGTAATATTTAGTGAGTATTATAAAAAAATATCAAATTTCATTCATTTGATTTATTATTAAAGTTGCAAACCAATAAGTTACATGCAATCTGGTCATAAACAAAGATACATTCTTAAAAGTTGATTTTTTAAATTCTGAAAGTATTTTGATCACGATGGCTTATTCAGATGTGCTGGGAAGCCCTTTATATTGTAAGAATTAAATGTACCTAATATACATTTTTTTTGCTCTCCCGAAAAATATTTGGGTTTGACCCCATTTAGAAGCAATAATTTTACCAATGTTATTGGTTAGTCTATTAAGTTATAACAGTATATAATTAAGTGAAGAAAAACAGTATCTGGTGTCAATGTTTTAGTGAATATTTATATAAAACAACCGCAAATGTTCATATGTTAATAGGTGTTTATTTATAACTTAACGACAACTTTTACTTTTCATTTCTCTCTTAGAAAGTTTGTTTAATATTAAGTTACGTAAATATTTTTTTATATTTAAAATTACTATGTTTATTATCAAATATTTATGTCATTGTTTTTGCTAAAAATTATTCATAGCTCTAAAATTTAAAAGACCATAAAATTTACATCACAAATAGATGGTATTAAAATTAATAAAAAACCATAAAACATTAATAATATAAACAACTTTACTACTTTGAAATCTTAAATTATAAATAATATTACCGATAAAAAGTTGGTAAATGGAATTTTTATACAACAAAAGCATAAGTAAATAATGTGATAAACAAACAGCTATAATGTAAATAAACATGGGTGTATCAGTTAACACTTATAAGTTATAACAAATTTTCCTTACCTTACATACTTTTTCTCTGACGCATTATCGCCCATTATCGTACATGTTTCCATGACACTAGGTGATTTTTTAAATATATATTGACAAACTATTTCGCTTTAGTCACGAGCTGAAGTTAGCAACAGGTTTTTAGTCACGGGTTGAAGTTAGTTTTAAGTTAGTTAACAGCTTTCAAAAGTCACACAAATAGTTTCTAAACTCCAATACCTATTTAAAAAGTTTATATGCAAGTTTCTACTGACCCTTTGATTTTGACAGTAGTAAACTAGATTTAACTAAAAGCATTAAAACTTTCGTGTGGAGACTCCATCGTGTGCATAAAATATTTACTTTATTTTTACAGCTTCTACATTATAGTTTAAATGGTTGTCAGTCCATTTTCAAGGGATAAATTTCGATTTACACTTACAAATTTGACATTTAGACTGGCGCGCCGGTGATACAGATGCAACTCGTTTATAAACTTTTCTAGATACATTTAATTAAGCACTTGCTTGCAAACTTGCTCGTGCCTATACTAAATTCGTGACTAAAATGGCGTTTATCAAACTTGATGCATAATATACCATTATATTAATAATAATAAATTAAACAAATTTGTTTACTTACATTTCAGAAAAACAATTACAATTATCAGATAGCAGTTGGCTCCCCTGATGTGAGAGGAAAACGTGAGGCTGAAGACCGATCCAAATTCATAGACAGTCTATTTAATGTAAGTATTAAAAAAATTAATTATAAAAAAGTTAGATTCTAAAAACTGGTACACAATAGAAACTCACTAATTGTATGAGTATTTGTGATTCGAACTGTTTTTTGTATCAGGTAAATTATAAATAACTGTAAAAAATTAAGAGCAATGAAAAAGTCTTCGACTCTCAAAACGGTACTTGCTAAGAATTTTAAGGTCAATAATACAAGCAATGGAACTTGACTGTGACCTTAACAGTGAGAATAAGGAAAAATATTTGTATGCACAGAATTTATTTAATCTTTATTTTTTTACGATTTATATCCTTGACTTTAGGTTAATATTTTGTCTTGCTAATGTATTAAATAAAATCAATATTCCTATTTTCAAAATTTATTATTGTTATTTATAGAAACAAATTGGAGAGGTGAAGTTTTTCTACCGGCTAGATAGAACCAAAGTTATAACCGCAAAAATGTAGAAACATGTAAGTTATCATCAAAATTTTGCTTTTTATTTATCATTGCAATCATTTGGCTTTCATTAAATTTAGTACATGTCATGTAGATCGTAGAACACATTTCATTTTTATGTATGTAGTTTTAACTAGTATTATTTATTAAATTACACAGTGCTACAAAAAATGATCTAGAATTCAGGTCATAGGTCTGGGTGAGTACATTAAAAAAAACATTGTTCAACTTTTGAAACCCGATGCCACTATTTTTTTCTAATGTATTTTGGCCACCCAAACTTAAAAATCACAATGTTTTTTTAATGCAGCTTTACAATTTGGGTCATATCTCGAGTTATAAACGGCCAATCTGATTGGACAAGGTGTCAAACTAAACATAATCGAATCGCCGACCAAGTGCAATGGGCTCGAATATAAAAATATTTCTTTTGGCCAAAAATAACAATGCAATATTTTCATTTTTGCCAAGAACGAATAAAAATCATCAAAATATGATTTTGTGCTCGTACTGTATACAAAAAAAAAGTTTATACAAAAAAGCTCTTTTAGTTCCACCCTTACTTCTTAAGAAGTCCCATAAGCCAACTGAATGGCTTGTGCGGGTTAGGGGTAGGAACGGACCGCGGGCTTAAAGTCCCCTCCGAAGGATGCTTTGGAGGATAAACGTATGTGTAGCATTAATACATTAAATGTTTAGATTTTTATGTAACCACATAGGTGCGATGTATGATGGATATTTTTTGAATATTTTTTGTTCATTTTATTTATTTGCCTCCACGTTTACAATAAATAAATTTTATCACACAAAATTTTTTTTTAATACAATTAACGACCCAATTATTTAATTTCACTGTCCATTTAATTATTATTGTAATAATTATTACGATTGATTGTTAAAATATTTTTTCTACTCCCACCTTTAAAACGCCCTTTATCGTACATGTTTCCATGACACTAGGTGACCTTTTAAAATGCACATTGACAAGTTGTGGATTTATGGCGCTTTAGTCACGGGCTGAAGTTAGCAACAGGTTTTTAGTCACGGGTTAAAGATAGTTTTAAGTTAGTTGACAGTTGTCAAATGTCATACAATCGTTAAAATAATTTGCCTTTATACTAAATGTGAAAATAATTTTATTATTTCAATACAAAAATACAAAAGTATTAAATAGTTTCTCAACGCCAATATTTGAAAAGTTTATATGAACATTGAACTGACCTTTTAATTTCGCCGGCAGTAAACTTAAATTCGGGCACGGACTCCACTGTGACTCCAAGTGCTCATAAAACATTTTCTTTACTTTCACTGTGAAAAACTGTCAATTTTCAAGAAATACATTTCGATTTATAACCTATATAATTGTGTTTATAAAATATAAAAATTTGACATTTGACGGTGACACAAAGATATTGTTTTATAGATGGCGCTCTATACAAATTTTTGATTTAAATCATTTTAAGATAGTAATAAGTATTTGTCGTAGAAAAAGTATAGTATGCACCTTGTTTCTAAACTTTTCTATACACTTATTAATTTAAGCACTCGCTCGCCAGCTCGCTCGTGCCTAAATTAAATTTCTGTATAAAATTGCGTTTATCAAACTTAATACATAATATACTATAAGCAGTAAAATTTTAATTGCAAATAAAATATAAATGGTACATTGGGATTTTGAAGGACTTGTTTTTTAATGCATATTGCACTAAATATAGTGGCAACAACGTAAGTGTGTTTTTTTATTTGAGAAGCAGACTTCCAAAATGCGTTTTGTTTAAATATAATTTTCAGGAAACACAAAAGTCTGGTATGAAGTAACTGATATATTTAGATAAAAATTCAAAATGACAGTAAATTTGAATTTGAATTTTAACCCTACAAGAATTTTAGAAACCTGAAAAAATATTGAACTTAAATGCTATTTGTATTGTTTAATGCTGACAAAACTCAGTTTGTTTGGAAATAACAGAAACTTTATGCTGTTTTAAAGTAAAAACAAGACATTTCTTTAGTTTATCTTTATTAAAAAAAACGAAGTACCATTCATGTCTTTATTATTCAGCCATTCCACGCTACTCGGGAATTTTTTCAGTGATTTTATTATACTGTGTAATCAGGCGTAGAAAAGAACAAAACGCGTTTTTATAGTTTATGTGTAGATACACTTTACACTTTAAATGCAACTCTCGCTAAAGATTTACTTAGGACTAGACGCGTTTAGAATGTACCGTTTAAAGATGCGACTTAGTTTCAAGAAGAGAAAGCCATATTTTTCTCAAAAGTTGAATTTTTTGACAAAACGCATTTTGAAAGTCTGCTCTAAATTTTGTTCAGTCTGTGCAATAAAATACAAATTTTTTAAAGATTTTTTGGCTTTCTTGCTTCTTTTTAACAAGTTTTTAAAAAAGTTTTCAATTGTAAATATATTGCTGTTTTATTATTATATTTATAGGGGGAAAACAGTTTTAAGATAAATAAAATGGAAAAATATATAATTAGCGGTATCTAATATGAGAATTTTTATTTAATTCACAATTAAATTTCCACTGCTTGATAAATTTTAAATCCTTCTGAAGTTTGGTTACATAACAAATCGAAACATTAAATGTGTCAACAAAGCATCCAATGCGAGCACACTGGTCATTACTTGATTTTCATTTATTCTTGGTTAAAAGGTAAATTTAGCAATATTCGAACCTATTGTACCTAAACTACTAACACATTGGTCATTAAGAAAGTAATTGGTCGGCGATTCGATTATGTTTAGTTTGACACCTTTTGCAACCGTTTGAAACTAAATATTTTTTTAAAATAGTTTCGTTTCTAATTTAATTAAATCTACACTACATGTAGGTTATTTTAAAAGTTCAATGTAGCACAGTGTGTTTTATAAATTATGTAGGCACGTGGATTATAATGGGTTAACTCCGCATTAAAATAATTTTTATATATCCATGCTTCATTATATTTTACTATATTTATAATTAGAATGTTTTAATTTATTTTGTTTTATTTGCATAGGCTTGTATTTGGGAATTCGTTATGTATATATTAACACGAACTTGCTTCGTATTTATAAAGATAATAAATATTGGAAAATACAAAATATAGTTATAAAAGTTTATTTATAAATAAATTTTTAAAATTTTATAAAAATACATAATAAATAATATAATTTTGACTACAAAAATTTATATTTATTTGTAGTTAGTAGTACCTAGTTATAAATTTGGTTTAGTTTGGTTTTTAGGTCATAAAGACCCAAAAGACAAAGGCAAACGCAAACATGTTTAATTTTAAAATAAAAAAATAAGCAGTAAAATAACCATTTAAAATTTTAGTTAAAAAAATAATAAAAATTAAAAATGGTATAAAATCTGTAACTCTTGGATTTTTATTTTGTTGTTAAACTTTAGTGAATTGCACCACTTGATCAAGTTCGAATAATATTAATTGGGTGTAGAGGGCTGGTGAGGCGCGCTGAAAAACTAACTTTTATCGCAAACTTTAATTTAAATTATGCTTGCGCAGAAATTGTCTATTCAATGTCATTATAAACTCATATATAATAACTGAGATATTGGTATACCCAAAACCACCAGCCGCCACTGTCTAAACCTTTTTTATCCTAAATCCTATATGTTTGTAATTTTATTAGAATAAACAAAAGTATACATAACTCAGAATAAACAAGTAAACCAACATTTTTCTACAATTTTCGTTCCTAGGCTCATTTTGACATCATATGGAAGTCCACTTCCAACGTACATTGTATGTACATTTATTACATAACATGGACCTCCTATAGTGTGCCAAAGTAACATTATATGTACGTACAAGGAACGTCCATATAATATTCTTGGACATACTATGGATATCCATTTGTACAGAGATGGATGTCCTATGGACACCATATGGACGACTTTGTGCTCTATGGGTATTATTGTTAAAAAAACTGTTTCTATATCATCATTTAAACAGTTGTTAGTTCGTTTACAAGAAATACATTTCGATTTACACATACAAATTTTACTGGCGCACCGGTATTACATATTCTTAAGTTAGAAATTGGTACGCGAGTTACTCTATTTTTTATAAATGTCACTCCGTACAAATATTTAATTTAAAATATTCTTATATAATATTATTATTATTTGTAGATGAAAAAGTATAGTATGCAACTCGTTTATATACTGTTCTAGACCCTCATTTAATTATAAACTCGCTCGAAAGTTGCCTAATTAAAATCCCCCACTAAAATGGCGTTTGTAAAACTTAATAACATACTATTTAATCCAAATCAATAAATACAATAATAGAAACTGATAATTAAAACTATATATTTTTTATTCTAAAACCCTAAAATGTACAAGATTTTGCTTCTATTTTTGTAACATAGAAGATAGAAAATTTTCATTATATATAAGACTTTTTAAATTAAATTAAATATAGAAGCCAGGCCTAAAATCCATAAATATCATTTATTTGAAGTTTATATTAAAAAGTATTAAACACAAAAATATACCCTATACAGAGAAAAGTAATCTATTAATTTAAGATGATGCATTTATTTGAAACAGGTTTTCTTGTATGAAGTAAAATTTTCTTATTCGTAGTAACTTGTTTACAATAAGAAAATACTATTATTTGGTTGTAAATCATAAGTTTCTTGAAAATAATTTATTGTTGTGATTAATTGTAAAGAAATATTTATTTAGAGCAATTAATTAAATTGTTTGGATGTAGGTTTTGTTTCTTTAAGTAAGCTTTTACTAAACCTGAGATAAAAAGTCAACTAGAAATTTACTTGTATTAACCAAATATTAGTTTAAAAAGACAAATAAACCCAAGTTTTCTACTAAATAAATATCTTCTTGTAGATATCGAAATAAATAATTTATTTGAGCCAAGCCAAATATAGTAAAATCAAGATATTACTTTTCTCTGTGTAGTCCGCTAAATAAACTGTATTTTTGACTGTTCCAAAATTTTTGTAATAAAAAATATGGACTTAGTATGAACTACATTTATTAGAAACTAAAGGAACTACTATAGTATACTATATTATAATATGCACAAATCATAAGATATATTTAAGAAATGCATAAGCCTCTATTAAAGTTTACCTAGTAAAAATTTGTAATGCATTTTTTTAAAACAGCGATATATTATGTAAACATAACCTTAAAATCGTTTAAAGTGAAAAACCGATTCCTATATATCAATGGGCGCCGAAAGGGGTGAGGAGGCAAGAGGGGGCATTTGCTCCCTCCTGTAAAATTAAAACACTATACAAAAGCGGATTTAAAGCCTATTTAAATATTTAATATAACTACTTGAAATTGTACGAAATTTTTTTTGTAAAATTAAAAAAAACAATCCCCATTGACTAAAAATTTACATTAAATATAATAAACATCGTTTTTGAATCAATTAGCTTCTTTTACTAGATTTAATCAATCACACAAATAATTCATTTTTTACAATTATAAATAATTTATTACAATATTTTTACTAATAGTACAATTATTTTTCAGTTGCCGATCCAAACTCTAAATGCTCTTAACACGTTGGTGCAAAATTCCAGGCCAGCTTTCCAAAAATTCCAAGACTACATGCAAAAGCGGTCAGAAAAAAAAGGTACGAGTACGACTGCAAAACCCGTTGAAGAATCAAATTTAAGGAAAAGGTCCCCGGTTTACATACGACCCGTGGGGCAGGAAAAGCAAATATTAGCTGAAGCTTGAAACTGCCACTATTGAGAAGGAAAATAGCTTTAATGTGCGGGCTAAAATTTATTAATAGAATTATTATTATAATTTTTTGAAATGTTTAGTATATACTTAATATTTAACATTTAGAATTTTGAACATAAATTTAAAATATAATCCATTTATCATTTTATTTTATTTTAAACTTGTTAGTTTGTATTTAGCCTGAACAGTATTTTATCATTTAACTTTAGAACCCATAAAAATTGTACCTGTAAATTTTGTTTTGTCAATTTTGTCATTTAAAATTCATGTATCATCTATTTTTAAGATTTTTATTAAACATTTGCCAGTATTTTATTGTAAGGACATTATTTGGCAAATTTTTAAGCATTGTAACATGTATATATTTTATTTGTAAGACTGTTTATATTAGATATTATTTTACCTGTTTTTTATTTTTAAGTTTTTTTAGTATTTGTGATAAATAAAACATATTTTTATACGTTGACTTTTTTAATATTAAATATTTTCATATACATTTAATTCCAAAGTGTGTATTTAAAAACGAGCAATGGTCTTTAAGTGTGGACCTCATTGGTCTTTAAGTGTGCACTTCGTTGGAAATTGCTATTTAACAGAACTAAACAAAATACTTTAACAGTTTAATTTTTGAAAATTACGCAAAATAATTTTATAATTATTTATTCCAAAGTTTCGTTTTATGTATCAAATTAAACCATTAATATAAAATAAAACCATTTTGTTGTCTTAAAAACATTAGTAAAAAAAATTATTAAAATTTTTGTCGCGAAATATATTGGCATTATTGAACAATTTAAATCCTTAATGAAACGTGTATGTTTTTAGTGGATTTTTTGTATCAGATTAATGAAAACTTCTGTTAACTGCTTTTATTTCTATTTAGTTTTAATATATTATATTATATTATATTATATTATAATATTGAGTAAACTTTTTTAGAAAATAAACTATACTATATAAATATATTTATATAGTATGGTTTATTTTCTAAAAAAGTTTACTCAATGGCTAAACGTGTTGAAATTATTTTTATTTATGGTGCTCTACGAACTGCAGTGGCCTTTAATGAACTACACCCTGGCAAAAATGTGCCTCATAAAGAGGTTTAAAAAAATTAAACTTAAAAAGAAGTCTGTTAAATAGCAATTTTTAAGAGCTCAAGCTCCAAAATATATTTAATCTCCAGTTGGTTTATGAACCAACCATAATAGGTCTTTAGATTTTAAAACGCTGTTTTTGCAAAAGCGATGTCCACCTTAAATTTGTAAATAATTCCAATTAGTATGTACTAAATTTTACTTGAAATTAAATAAAAACTTAGTATGGCCATTTAAAATCTTAAAGTTATTTATGGAATACTCTTTATATGGATTTGAACATGGCCATTTAATTCCCTCGAGTTTACGGCTCCGGATTTTTCCAGTCAATAAAATTGGTTACAAAACGTGCACACAAAACTAAAAGTTTAATTTTTATAAAATATTGCATGAGCAAAATTAAAAATTATAATAATGTTAAAGGTTTATAATCGCACATTTTTTAATTTCAAGTGAGATATGTAGTCTATTATAGAGATTTTTATCTTTAATTTTAACTTTAACTTAAAAATTAAAAAAAAAACTAAACTTGCTAGTATACTTACCTATAAATAGGAAGGCTACCAATTTAATTTGAAATATGTTAACAGCATTGCATTTGTCATTGTTCAAAACCAAATGTGGTAAGGTTGGAAAAAATACTTATTCATAGGTAAGGTTAATAGTATTATTTGTAATTTATTGCCAATTAAGTATCACTTGATAAATTTAAACCATCCAGATTTTCAAAGGATGTTGGTTAATGCGTCCGGCCTTAACAAATTAATCAAATACCTAGTATGTGCATTTTATCTTTAAAATATTAATTGTATAATTTTTGTAATATGTTTTTTTACAATGTTTAATGATTTAATACATATATTTTAAAATACATGCATACATTTATAAAATTTAATTAAGTTTTCTTATGAATTTAAAAATCATTATTATAAATGAATAGGTGAGAATAAGAACAGTACAAGTCCAAAATTTGACATTTTCATCTGAAATAGCCATTTTGTTTTAAATTCGAAGCAGCAACGAAGAAGTAGAAGAACATTTTTAAAATCGGCTTGTTAAGGTGTTTGTCAGAGCTAACTGTGAAGCATTGAGAATAAGAACAGTACAAGTCCTGGACTTGTACTGTTCTTATTCCCAATAAATGCATTTATGTTGTTGTTAATTATGGACATTATATACCTACTAAAAGTTTAAGGTGGTCATGCTCATAAAAGCTGTCAGTTGGTATTTTATTCTGCTTAAGTGTAAAATACAACAATGTTATCATCTGATAGTAGCGAAAATGACACAAGAGTGTTATAGAGTTTTATATATATATGTCTACATCTGGAAAAATTGTCGAAGAAAAAAGAACTGGACCACCATGTAATAAAAAGAAAAAAAATGATATAAATTTTTTTTTAATATAATGAAGTAGATCAAGGGAGAAGATCTAGAGTTTTACCACCATGTAACATCCTGGCCAAACACCAATACGGATGATGATGCCGGTATACAAAATTGATTATTTAATATTTTTGTTCAATAAAAATGTTTATTTTGTTCAATAAATTCCTTTTTGATCAATAAAAATGCTTTTTGTTAAAAAAAAATGCTTTTTAATAAAAAATGCTTTTTGTTAAAAAAAAATGCTCTTTATCTATAAAAATGCTTTACCACATCGTAATGTTTTATTTTTTTCAATTCTAAAACAAAATTCTAAAGATTATTATAAGAATTCTGTGTCAAAATTTTATTGAGATTAAGAACAGTACAAGTCCAAGTTTATTTTTTGTGCATAATATAAAGCATGCACGTGGTAAAATAAAATATTTCTAGTTTAATGGACGTCTAAACTCATACACCACAGCTTGTCTGAACTTTTAAACCTGAAAATATCCTAATAAACAAAATAAACAGTTTATTTTGTTTTCTCAAAAATCAAACATTTGGACATGTACTGTTCTTATTCTCACCGATTCAAATAATTAAACATAAACTTATTCAGAACTCAAGATAAATGCCACGATATTAATTGTAAAACTAATTTTTATTAATTAATTAATGTTTGAGAAAATTACATACTTATTTTAGTAAATTCAACGATTTTGAAGAAATTCCGATTAACCCTTAACTACTCGCGCCAATTTTTGTAACATAAGTGGTCGCGCGGTGCACTAAGTGCTCCGCTCCTTAAAATGGCTATATTGCTGAATGTTTTCAATTTTAATATTACTTTTGCTTATATTCGGATGAATTAACTCTATTTTTATTAAAACACAATATTTATTTTAAAAAGAAACAAAAAGCAAATAACAAAAAATAAAACAAACAAAAAAGTTATTACTTCTACTCAGAAAAGAAGAAATCAGAATGAAATTTACCCGTTCTATTTTTATTTGTGTATTCTTAGAAAAATGTATACCTTAAAAACCATTAGGTTTTAAATTCCATATTTTGTTGATTTAGAAATATTTTACATTGCAAAAATTAAAATTTAGTTTTAGTGAAGTATTTCTAAATCAATCTAAATTTTTCTGTCCATAACTTTGAAATTAGTAGTTTAAACTGAATATGCCGTCGACAGTGCATGGTAGACAAATCAGTCATAGGTTACATGGAAAGGGCATTTAATTCCAAGAAAACGACAAAAAGTTATAGAGGTTTTAATAAAAACGGAGCACTCAGTGCACCTGCGCGACTAGTTAAGGGTTAAGAAAGCGGGTAGAGAAGTTGTACCGTACATTCCAGGATTTGAGTGTGATGTAATAGGGAGAAAGTTGGAAAAGACGGTTAGAATAATTCGTAGAAAAAACCGCACTTTCTTAGAAAGGTTTAGAAATCCTCAACATGTGCAAAATGAGTTAATTTTGAGAAGGGTCCCTGGCGAAAATAAAATGTGCAAAAAGTGTGCAAAATTATATGAGAACATTGTGTCAACAATGTGCAATCTTTTAAAAAAATGATGTGCGGAGGGTGGGAAATGGAACATGAAACAATGTGCAAAACCAAAAGTTTAAAAGTGTGAATAATTACTGGTCAATGTTCTAAAGGGAACTTCTTTTGATTTTTCACATTGTTGGCACACTGTTTCTTGCCACCTGTGTGCAGATTCTTTTATTATTATTACAAAAACAGATTCTTTTTGGTGACCTATAAAATCTTTTAAATTTACACATAATTGAAATATATATAATATATTATATATCCTTATAACAATATTAATCAAATAAATTTTTTTTTTTTTAAATTTAAAAAAAAATACCCACAATGTAGGTCCTAATTTTTTTATTAAGAAAAATACCTGCACTGTCAACTCCACGAAGGGGATTGCTTTGATCTTAGCAATAGGCCGAGAAGCGATACATAAGATGGAATCTACCCAACCTTTTAAATAAATGTTGTACCCCAACTCAAGCGAGATATATCTAAAATGTGCTTAAACTGTTGAGTGATCGCTAAAACTGTACAAACAAAAAAAGGTGTAATATAAGCGTCATAAATGAGAAATATTAAAGCGTGCTCACAGTGTGTATAAAATGTGACATGCGTAAGATAGACTGAAGCTTTGCAAAATGTCTTTAAACAATGTACTAACACTGTGCTAAAATATAATGTAATATAAGCGTGACATATGACAAATAAAAAGCCTGATGTCAATCCTAGACCAAACCTAGGATGTCAATGTAGGTACATAAAGAGTAAAAAAACTTAATTATTTCAAAAAGTGTGAAATTACCACAAAGTAGCGTCTATGCATATTGTTATAAAGACTTGCACTCCAAATACACACTTATTGCACACTTTTCATGCACGATTTATTTTCGCCAGGGGTACTTGAGATATAATGTCAAAACGGATTTATTGGATTTTTTTAAGATAATTTAGAGAAAAGCACTACAAGAGAATTTCTGTGTAAAGAATAACATGTGCTAAACACGCTTTTTAAGCAAAACATTTTAAATCTAAATAAATAGCGTTAAAAGTATAATAAAATTACTAAAATTAAATTTAAAAAAATTAAGTTTAAAACTAAACCTAGAGATAGAGATTATATATTATAGAATTAATATTATATTGTATTGTTTTTTGATTATGGAAGGGCTGCGACTTATTAAAATATAATTCTCGATCAAAAGTAATTTTAGGTTGATGAACCTCATAAGTATAGCTTCAGTTAATAAGGTTTAACAACCAGATAGGAAAATTCTGGATTCGATCACTAGGCAACCGTTGTTACTTCCATGCATGCTATTGGGAACCATCAATAATTAGGGAATTTAGAAAATTATAATGTATAAATGAATTTGGCCCTATGC